GAATCTGGCAGCGGCGGCTGCAACCAATGGGTTTGTCACTTCACACTCGCGAAGCATGTGCACGAAGACATGTCATTTCGAGCGATTTCGAGCGATTGGAGACTCCTACAAACAGTAATTCGTCATATCATGCAGAAGCTGACAACTTTCTTCGTGCCTGAGTCGAAAACAAAGCCGCCAAACCAAAGACACAACATGACGGCTTCCCGAGTCTGTGTTGAACGATTCAAAGATCGCGGTCGGTGGAACTCGATCCAATTAACCGTAGACGCCGCGAGCTGAGGGTCGACGCAGCACAATAGATGCGAAGGATCATGATTCTCGCAGCGACTACGAGAATGCGCCTGAAGTAGTAAACGGCTGAGGCAACCCAACTGAATGGACCCATACTCTCCTTTCATCGCGCCTTTCGAAACCTGCATAACAGTTAAAACCATAAACCTAGATGCTAAAACCTTATCCTTTCAACGCTGCGTCTTGGGGCCTGCATCTTAAAGAACTAAAACTTCACCTTGCAACCTTAAAACCCCTGAACCTCAACAGTGCATCAACTGTACCCTAAAAAGCCAGAACATGAAGGCCGATAGCCGAGTATCCAGGCCATGAAAGACTGAAGCAGTGAGGAACGAGGGGAAGTTGTCGAACGCCGAGCAGGGTAAGAACCTGGCAAGCATGCTGATGTAGCTTGGTTGTTAGGGGTTTTATGCCCAACACCCGAAACTGATTGGTATTCTGGGCTTTAGGGTTCTTGGGGTTTGGGGCCGTGCACGGTGGCATAACTAATGGCTTTGGCCACAGGTTTCCAAACAGGCTGATCGAAACCTGAGAACCGTAAACCTCTCATCCTCAACTGCAGCCTGTGAGCCGTGCGAACCACTAGCATTTCATTGCTTTGCAATAGACCCTTGTGTGACACAAAGGCCTGGAAAAAGGCAGATTTGTAGGGGCACCCGAACGTCCCACTATATCACTATATACACTCTCCAAACTCTGCTGCCACGCAGCAGCACCGAGGCGCTGGACTCATCAATATTCAAGGTATCGAGGATGTACCTGGAAGCAAGAAAGCGAAGAAGACAGTCGAGGTGGACGATGATGAAGAAGACAAGACGAGGATGAGTCGTAGAATTTCTTCATGGCTACAGGGGGAAAGCGGCTTACAAACAAAAGCCTGCAACCGATGTATAGCAACATGCGAGGACTGCAGGGCTTCCAGACTAAGCTGCATGCGAAAATACTGCACAAAGTTATATACACTCCTGACGCATAATGCATCTACCTATAAGTGAAAGTTTGGGGCGCTCGGCTTTGCAAGTGTTACCCCTGTTTATTGACTTGCATGTGTAGTGTATGTACATACTTAATACATACCATGATACATACACCGTGGTACACACCCGTATACGTACACAGGACATAGGCACCTGGACCCTTCGTGCAAACCCCAAACCGAACGAATCAAGCGACCGGCCTGGCCACACGCTCAGTGCTCAGCCGCTCCTGGTGAGCGCCAAAAACTGCGACAGACGAAGGCTATCCTCCAACCATGTCGGGGAAATGATTTTTTACCCAATATGTTTAGTGCTGGTTTTTTCCACCCAGTATGCTTAGAAACCCTCAAGCCCTCTGCGATGTTTTGACAGCTGAATACTAATCCGTTTTACTGACTGAAGCTCGAAGCATTTGAACAATCGACATTCATCACCATGCCCACGTCCAACCGTTTAGCTGCTGTTTTCAAGCTTGGGGTGTACTGAGTCGCGCGTTTGTCTAGCAAGTTTAGAGTTTAGTTTTAAGCTTCGCATATACCTAGACCACCATCTTCAACCTATAACCCCCCCCCCCCCCCCCAATTTCTCAATCCTCCAAGCCCAGAACGGGCTGGACCGACTAAATCCCAAAACACTACACCTAAACCCCACAAGCCTAAGCGCAAGTATGTACGAACCCAGAGCCTTCCTGCATCCTAAGTCCTTTTTAACCCTGAGCCGTTAATCAGCATGCCTCGACGCACCAAGCACCGAATCTAAACCTTGAACCTGAACCTTAAACGCTGTATCCTTAATCTCAGAAACAGTCCCTTGCTGCCAAACACAGTAGCCTTAAACTCTAGACCCCAACTTCCTAACATCTGCAAAGCTAATTCCTCACTCTAAACCCCGAATCCCCGGCCCCCCCCTCCAAAAAAACAGCACACACTCACACAGAGAAAGTCCAAGGGTCGCTTGTCCAGCGAAGCAAACTCTGTGCAAGGTCCTCTTCTACAGCTTTTTTGTTGAACAGCGATCTGAACCGAATTTTGTGCTCTGGGCTTCTTATCATAGTTTAAGGATGGAGTACAGGTTTATTCTATTCAGCGCGTCGGGTTTCCTATGACGGTGAATTTTGCGCTGATTTTTTCCGAGACCGGTCTCTGACATGTTTAAGAATGTGTTTCTGCTCCGAGGGTTTAGGGTTGAGGGTTTGACGAAGCTTCTCTGAATCTTCATAAAAAGGTTTGGAATGGTTTGGAGGGGTATCGCATGTCTGTATGAAGATTTTACAAGTCTTCATGAGAAGTACGAACCGAAGGCTTCATCACGACGGTTTGCTTAGGAACCTCATAGGATTTAGAAGATCGGGCTGCGGAGGGCTCAGAGTATAGGGGGTGAGAGATTCTTGTTTATTGTTGTCTTCCCGGTGTGTTGTGTGTGTGTATTCTTTCGATTCCATACTGACGGGTGCTGTATCCCAACCTCGTACAGCTATGGCTCGGAGTTTATCTCAACTGCTTCTCAGGGGAGCTGACTTTGCAGCCAGCAAAAATCAGTTGCGATCACAGCCTGAAAAGCTGCGAGGTTGTGAAACCCCATGGCTCTGGCACCAATAGCGAAAAGCGCACGTAAACCCGATGTCCTGGCCCCTGTTACCGGAAGCCGGTTCATTCCTTTTCCTCAACCGTCGGCAGTATTTCGTAAGATCGTCTTGAAGTCCTAACCCTTGATACTGGGCAGAGCGAAATTAAGGAAACCCTTGCAGGGAAAACCATACTTTAGGGATTTGACTGATTAGACGCTTGGTTTGGAGGTATACTAGAGCACGATTATATAAGGGGCTGTAAGAACGAGAACACTTCTAGGAATTATTTAGGCACGTTGTTTGGGGCTTAGAGCTTCAACGGGTTCGAGCACTGGGGCTCTCCCCAAAAAGCTTGAGGGAAATATGCTAAACCCCATAGCCCTCAACTTTGAGACTCCAGAGCCCCGCCCAAAGCCTAGAACTCTAAAACTTAAGGTAAGGTTTACGACGTCCAGGGACTGAACTCAGTAGGGACATTCTTCCATACCTGACGCCTTAAAACTTGAGGCAACATAACCAACCCCACATCCCTTCAGGGTGCCTGTGCAGCGCCGGGCTTTAATGGGCAATGCCCCGGCCCAGTTTCGGTGGCCTGGGCGGCAGGGGTCAAAGGAGTTGGGGCTCCAAGCTGATTCTCTGAGCGATGTATACGAATCTGTGAGTTCCATAGAGGCTTCGGGCCTTGAGATGTTCAAATGCTCGAGCTTTGTGCGACTTTTCGTAGGAACTATAAAACCCTTGCATATAACCATGCAGCGGCCCACTTGTAGCAGCTTCCTTGACGGATGCTTTGCGCGGAATGTTCGTCAAACTTGTGTTCTGAGATGTTGTTCAGAAACGGCTTCTTGAATGACGGATTTAAGGCTGCTAAGTTAGGAACTAACATTGAAGTTGGTAGGGTTCTGGGTACAGAATTGTCAGGATTAGGGTGTAGGGATTTGTGGCAAACTATGTTTTTGCCAGTCTCGCATGGCTATGGCTTTTAGTGATGTATGGTTTGAGTTGAAGGGCCAGTGCTCTATTTTTGTTCAGGCTTTAGCCTTGAGGGTTTGAGGTCAAGGGTCGGTGAGTGGCTAAAACTGTGCTTACACTAGCATACATAAGTATACATACTTATATGTACGCATAAAATAATAATATATATATATATATATATATATATATATACACATATGTATATACATATATATATATATGTGAGTATATTTTGCAAAGATCTGGTGCAAACCTCCAAGAGCTCCAGCATCAGCCCTTTGCTGCACGAGGCGCCGCCCCCAACCCGGACGGCCCGACGCCAGGGGAAAAAAAAAACTCAATTCCTAAACCCCAAAGGCCCAAGCCAAACCTGGGTTCTTGATTAGAGAACTATAGTTTCAGTCACCATAATAAAGAAAGCATGTTCTTTACTATAGACACCTATTATGGTACTTGACCTAAATTCCTGAACAAGAACCCAATAACTCTGAACCTGGAGTCGTTATAAGTCCCTTTATCTCGAACTATGGTCCCTGAACTAAGAACCCCTCGGCGAGTGAACACCAAAAACCTCCCTAAACCCCTAAATCTTAAACCCCAGACCCTAAACTCTTAAACCCTAAACCCTTACACCCCTAAACCCTTAAACCCCTAAAGCCTTAAACCCTAAACCCCAAAACCCCAAACCTTCCTCGGCCCACGGCCTCCCAGGATAAGGCGAAGAGCGCCTTGGCACTGGCGAGGAGAAGTTCTCCGAAACTGCCGAAGCCCCAATGAAACCCCTAGGGCTACCTAAATAGTAGGTTACGGTTACTGGGGGTATATAATATATTGTCAGTAACCTACTATTTAGATGACTGGAGCCCTAAACCCTGCAGATCTTCTCCGTCTCACGCCAAAAGACACAAATTGGTGCAAGGTCGAGTCTCTCACGCCGTGATGCGAAAATTCCTTTGCAGCCCAGCTGTTGCAAGAAGCACATCAAACATAGCACTATGAAGACGATAACTATATGTGAAAGTACTAAGACCAACAGTTCTCCATGAGATCGCGCCGGCCTTTGGTATTATGTCTCGGGTAGAAGATCGCGAAACTCTACCCGTGACTGACCTGGCGTGTTCTACTCCTTGCTTCAGAAACAAAACCCCCCGGGGATTTGGACCCTGGGATGCCGGAGCGATGCAAATTCAAGGACTTTGGCCTTTAAGGCCCAGTCCCAAAACACCTTGGCGAAGCCGGTCCCATAACTGCTTCAAGTCGCGAAAGAACGTGGCAATGAATATGATCACTATGACGAAGAGGCACACCACGGCACCAGGAACTCCGAAAGTATAGTACAGATAAGTTCTCACAAACGAAACAGCAACGAGCATGAGAAAGAGAAGCGATACACCAACAGTCTGCATGTAGTCCATTTTGCGGCTTGCAAACCTGGGCTGAGCATAGTGCCTCGCGAGCATGAACAGGAGTTTCAATTGGGCTGTGGTCAGCAAGACGGACGACAGCACCTGTCCCAGCACGAAGGCCAACATGATCTCGCTGGGGGCGCCGGCGAGCCAAAGTGCCCCCAGAACATCCACTAGAGTTCCGGCAATAGGCGAATATGCCAACAAGCAGTACGACAGGGGAGCCTGCATCTCGGCGACCACTTGCACCAGCTCATCCCGCAAAGGCCCACGAACATATTGTGTGAATGCATCGGCGCTTCCATACCACTGGCTGACCGCCGCGACAATAAACCGCTTGTCGAAATCACTGGAACACGAAACGAGCTCAAGGTCAAAGTTTGCCATGTTCTGTAGACTATGCTCTTGCTCCTGGAAGCCTCTCCGAATTTCATGGATGCCGGGAATGAGAGCAAAACAACCGACAACGGCTGCGATGAGGAACGCCCCCCTGGCTGAGCCGGTGTTCAGGAACTGGAATATGCATGTGACCAAGTACATGCAGACCCAGAGCACGAAGAAGTGACGTTCAACCATCACCGGCTGGAAAACGATCTTGCCTTCTGGATTGGCCTTGCGGTATCCAGCGAGCTCGAATATACACCACAGTCCTGGCCGTTTTTGTTTGGAAGCTCTTTATTACCACTAGTATTGGTAGCACTTGCCGTTCTCCTCAATATACTTAACAACGACAAACATCTTTTCATGAGTGACCGCGTCTCGAGTCAAGTAAGGCACCGACCACAAAATGCGGAGCTCTTTGGAAACGGTCAGGTAGCCGCCGATACCATATATACCTCGTTCGCGCATCACCGGATCCGTTTGGTGAATGCATGTAACATCGTAGAAAATATCGAAGCTCGAACAGGGCACGAGAGGAGCGCAAAGTAAGGCAATGAGCGAGACCGGGAATGCGAACAGACTCGCCCACGGCCCACAGGGAATGGTTCTTGGGAATAAAACGTACTGTGATGTGAACCTTAAAGGCATGGGCAAGATGTCCAGCCTGTACATGATCAGGATCACCGTGCTCGCCACAATGACAGCAAATACGGCATAGTGCCAGTAGAAACGAAGTAATAAAGAAATGAACTTCTGAGATCCCGGTGTCCACCAGGTGTGAGACACAAATGCATCGAATGAGCTTGTTTTCTTGGAAAATCGCCATAGCTTCAACAGCTGTTCCTGGCTCATCTAATTCGGGTGTAGTCGCCAAAGATATCCGATCGCGCGCAAAGTGTCCGCCAACGGGACTGCGCGTGCGATCTCGTCGTCAAAGGCCAGTTGGGCATTTTGCTCCAGTCGGCTATGCAGTCCGCGCGGCTCCCGCCGGACCATGAGAGATTCTGTGGCAAACCGCGCCCCATGCAGTTCTCCCCCGAAGGTGTCCGGATTGTCCTTCGTTGTCTCCCCGTCCCCCATGTCCATATCGCAATCGTACGTGCACATGGGCTCCTCCCAATCTCCAAGGCCAATCAATGAAGGCACCGTTCTGCGAGACGCCCCTTGGTCAGTATCATCTCCAGCCTGAGCAGCGCAACAGTCCTGGGCCCCACGAAAAGCTGCTGCTCCCATGTTGGGTGGACACAGCACGAGAAAGGGCATGTGAAGAGCTTGAGCACTGTAGAAACCACGTGCACCCCACATGCAAGCAAGAAACCCACCCACAGTTTTCTGAGCAGCAGCTAACAAGAGCACGATACGAATAATCACGATAACAATCAAAATCGTAATGCTAGAGGATCTGTACTAGTTAAAATGGCAAACACATGTGGGCAATCTAATGTGCTTATCTGAGCATTCGCACTGGATACCCTGCTATATGACACAGCTGCTGTGAGTGGAAACCTGGTGCGAAGCACGCGATGATTGCATGGGTTTGGGCAATGGTATACATAAAGACGTCGACAGCAAGTTCACTGGAAGCAACCGTACCTGTCGTGGATGCCGTAGCCCAATGAAAATGCGGGTGCGGGCTTCACTGTGTCACACACTCACACACAACCCAAAGTAGTGGAAGGACGAGGAAGAATCGAGTAGACTCCAAAGAAGCACGACATGAACCTGTCAATCTGAAGCACCGCAAACTCAACACCCAGACTGTACAGTACGGGCCTGTACCATATGCAAGGTCTTGGGGTATACCATGGTATATCATACTATAATATGCGAAATTATGCAACACTCATAACAAGGCACCGAAAATGTATGCACCCATATCAAGACCACGGTGTCAGCTCTAACAAGCTTCGCCGGTGCCGGGGCTGAGATTTGAGAGTAGCCTCAGATCTCCTTCTACCCTCCAATACGCGGGTGTGGTCTGAACTAATGGGTATTTCGGGGCTCCTAGAGGGTATAGATGGAGGGTCTAGGAAGTTTTTGAAAGTGCGTCCCTGTTGGGGTTGGGACCATTCCTCTATGATGGGGTCCTGGCCATAAAGCGGCTCCCGGAAAAGTGCTTGCATTGAAGAGTAAAACGACGGGTTTAGCACTGGTTCGTAGTAGTATGGTATCTCCTTCTATATGGATATGACTATTGTTTAGGGTTTAGGCTAGTATATGATTATCAGGTACTTGGACCCTTGGGCTTTAGAGTGACTATACCACACACAATATTTTTGGCAACTTTGAGCGGAAGCTCCACATCTGGACACACTGACAAATCAGTCGAGGCTCGACTGGCAGAGACTGTATAAATGTACACTGACACCCGCCCCTAAAACTATTAAAAAGCAATTGCAACAATGGTTTTGACTAAGACCAACTACATTAGAATTGCAAACTTCCTCTGTGCAAACATTCTCTAAGCTCCCGGATCTGAACCCCGATAGATGATATGCAGTCGCTGCCAATACACAGCAACACCTACTGTGTTTGCTGAGGAGCTATGTAGAGGTTCATGTATTAAGGTTTAGTGTTCATGGTACAATTATACCCTAAAGGCTTGAAGGCTACTCACTCAGCCCCTATTCTTGAAAGCACCGTCGCTGACTGAAGAGCCCCGCCTTCGCTTCCATCAGCAGGCTCTTGGGCAACGGACGGAGCAAGCTCCGTGGCAGGTGTTCCTGACAGGACAAAACTTGGCAGCCCAACCAAACAGACTGGGGCTTTGATTTTCCATGGCCATGGTGTGTAAAAAGCCAGCTCCAGGTGGAAAACTCGCACCGAGCTTTGCCCCATCTCGATAAACCAGGCGCGAAGAGCCATCCGAGCAATAATAGCAATGGGCTCTCTAACAGTGGTTTTGCTTTGGGTCTCGGGTTTGGACTTCACGTCCTGAATTTCCACGCTTTGAAGTTTGAGGTTCCTTTATGTATTTGCGAAGCCTCACACAATCTAGTTGCGTAGTCAGTGCCTTGAAAAAAGATTTAAGCCAAATTTTTAGCCTTACTGAGAACAGCGCGCCCACCTCCCCGCAGGATCCTTCTCCCGAAGCATGCTACCACACACACACCAACCCCAAGCACAAAGCACCATGTTCCTTCGACCTATAGTACTCCAAAAAGGAGAAGCCCTGAGACTCCAAACTCAACTACATGTAAAGTTTGTGAATACATCTGGTTTTGGATGTAGGGCATGAGGTGTGTGCGGACAGCTTTGACGGCTGCTGGCAAGGGAGCTTGAGGTTTGGAACTCAAGTGTGGTAGTTGCCTGGCTACAGCGAAAATTTGTTCATGGTCAAATTGTCAATCCCCCCAAACCCTAACACCCGCAAGCCTGGACACCAACCCTGCCGTAAAACCTAAACCCGAGTCCCTGACCCCTTTACAAAGCCAGGAGCAACCAGCATGATACGCAAAAAGAAACCCCATCCCTTCACAGTTTTTGCGGCTGTGCAGCCAAGTCGTGGAAAATGGGTATGCAGCCATTGGCTAACCTGGGTTGGGGATTGACGTTTGGGGCGTCCACACCCGAAACCCGACTTTGGGGTGCAGTGATGTAGAGGTTCCGGCTCACGGTCTCAGGTTCTAGGAACTGGGTCGAGGCTTCGGAGCACTCTCCCGCTCGAAGCTTTTCTGCTAATGCTGACAAGGCCGGAAGACCAAGATCAGTAATCCCTTCTGCGTGAAGACACACACACACACTCACACACAGGCGCCCCGTTCTTGTGAGGTGCGCAAGAAAGGGTCCTGACTCCTGACAGCCTCACAAGACAGTGTTAAAGAGATCCCACATTTTTTTGAACGCAGACTCGGATGATCAGAGATCCCACATAAACCCTAAACCCGAAACACCCGAAGCCCTAACCACCCTTCTCGAACACATGGCGGTCCCTGAACCCTAAGACGTCGAAAGCCTGAACATGTTAGTAATTCCTGTAGCCTGGAGCTTCGAAATTTATCCTGCATCCTCAATCCTCGGCACTAGTCCAACAAGCCGAACCCAAGACCAACTTAAAACCGTACGCCGCAAAATAATAGAAATCCTGCCCAACCAAGGGCCTCCAAAGGGGAAGAAGGACCCTGATTTGGGTTCCCCCGCACCTATCTGTAGTCTGTAACCTTCAAACCCCTTCTCAACCAATCGTGGTGCCTTGCAAACGACGCTTCTGAAACCCTAAATCCTAAACTCTAAACCTCTTGATCCCACCACCTTTGGGGCCTTTGGGCCCCCCTTTGGAGCCCTTCGGCCCAAGAGGCAGCTCATAGTGCCGCAAGCAGTCGAAACCGCCTTTCCTGAGCTTTTCCCCAGGGAGGGTTTAGGGTTTAGGGGTATCCCGCTAGCTAAGGCGCGGCTTAAGACTTAAGGGTCGAGGCTCAAACTTGAGGACGGACTTTGAGGACTGTAGTCCTTCGATACTCGGGTTGAGGGTGGCAGAAGTCCTGTTCAACAAGAGTTCGCTACCTCCCTCACCAAGGATTATGTAACTATTCCTTAAGGTCCCACTCAATGAGGGACCCTTAGTCAGGTCTCCGGGCTCTGCCAGCCGTTGTATGTCAGAGGCTCATGTTTTGCCTTGCAAGTTTCGAAGCCCACCACAGAGCTGGAACTTAGAAGCGCGTTCTCCTAGAGCACAGATGCTCATACGCATGTTTTGCAATCTTTTCCGAAGCCCTCCCTCCACAGAAAGTACCAGTATATAAACCAAGACTGGATCCGCAGGCTACGGACACAAGCTCCAAAAAGCACCAATGATGTGGTGAGAGCATCGAACCTCTCCAAATCCGGGCTTGTGTGGCTCAACATGGACAGGTCTCAAGCAAGACACCAATACCCTCAGACCCAAAAACTGGCAGAACCTTTAAATGTAAAAAACTGCGAGCAAAAACACAGACCCCAATCTCTACAGGCTTCATGAATGGAAAATACAACCCAAAGTAGCCACCCACACAAAAACTCCCGTAACCCTATGAAAGCGAAAAACCGACTGAACCCCAAATGCACCCCTGCTGTCACATGAACCACTAGCTATTCAAACCCGGTACAGTTGAAACCCCAGTATAGATCATTAAAAACCTAGCACGCTTTGTCTTGAAACATGTACTTACTGAAGCCGCATAACAAGCCCCAAAAACTGTTGAAAGAGTCCAAGGCTCTTCCGGGTGTCTCCGAAACGATGCTTCTGGATGTGCTGGTGGTACTCCTCCTCCTGTATTGTTCAAGGTCGCAAGGCTTCTGCATGTGATTCTTTCGGAATTCACGGAGTCTGGGGGGGGGGGGGGCTGTGGGAGAGCAAGGTGCGCTCTGAGGGTGGGAAGAGTCCACGGCTTTGAACTCACGAGGGTCCTTCCTGCGGTTTGGCTGTTCCATATTAGCTGTGTAAGGATTTTTTGGTGGATACTAGATTTAGGCTTGGCCGTTTGGTGTGGGACAGTGTAGAGTGTAGGGCATCCTGTTGCAACTGGCTTGCAACGTCACGCCAGGACAGCTGTCTCGTTCCACGCTGCACTTGTGTAGGGTATCCAAAATCCCAAGCCAGCCGACAGAAACCCAGAAGCCTACAGGCGCGCCTGCATGGGGCCGAACTGGTAGTTCTTATACTGGAACGACTTCATTGAGTCGTTCATCGCCTCGGGTTTAGATTTGGGGGTTTTCGGGTTTTGGGAGTTCAGGCACCTCATTGAATATTGGCCCTCTCATGGTACTCTGATAGCTCGTCTATTCCTGCCCTAAACATTCACGCTGAATCTTCATTCCCACACCCTCCACCATGCAGCCCCCATAAGACCTCATAGTCTCACACACCGGACCAC